CTGAGTTGCTATCTTGCATCTCATTCCAGTTGGTGGAATAAACACCACAAGCCAAAAGCCCCTGCATTAGATAGTAAGAAAGAACAGTTGTTTGCTGAAACTTTTATTTACATTATTTTTTCAAGTTATACACGCACATACACACACAAAGATGAGAAGGTGAGAACCTCTGCACTAAACCAAATAAAATATGCTTATCTGAAGCAGTTCTCTTATCTCCTCAACCATAATTCTTATATCAAAGACTGACCTCCTCCACTACCAAGCCATACAAAGAATACTATTTTCTAATATTCTATTAATTGGAATCGATAGATTTAATACAAAAGAAGTCATGCAAGGTGGGTTTTCAGGGAGAGGGTAGCTGGAGAAAACATTCTGGTACCTACAGTTTTCCACAGCAAAGCAAATAAAGTCTTTGTGTAAAGAGATAGAAGTGGATCTTAATCTCCCAATGTAATGAATTTCAAAAAAATTTGAAAACAAAATTAAGCAACATCTTAATTTATATCTAAAAGTAATTGCACTTTGATAGCACATTATACTGTACTTTGTTAGATGAGAAGTAGGAATCATTGGGTTACATTCAATCTAAGAGTGGGATGGAATGATGCTTTAAAAAAAAGTCAAGCAAATCTTGACAAATCACAAAAGAGCAAGAGTATGTTGGTCTTTGAGAATGCACTTTTAATATTTTGTTTTATTCTGTGGTTTTTATTGATTATTCTGTTCTTGATAACATACACTGCATACATACATGTGCCAAATAGGGTGGCTATAAAAATTGATTAAATAAATAAATAATTAGTCTCCCCACTTTCCTTTTTTCTCCCTTCTTTGGGTATTTTGGATTACATCATACAAAGTTTTGCAATTAGCTGAGCTAATATACAAAGTTAAGAAAAGGGAAGGGATAAGAAGTGTGGCCAAAGGATATTTCACATTAGAATAGATTGAGGGGAAAGGACAGTTCTTTGAAGAGAAGAAGTTATGCATTATGAAATAATCAAATGGGTGAATTATTTTAATCTGGGCAATCTGTTTAATTGATTACTGACATAATCATAGTCATGTAAAGCCACAGCAGAGATTAAGATCACTTCTCAACAGAGAACTCTCTTCTCTTCTCTTCTCTTCTCTTCTCTTCTCTTCTCTTCTCTTCTCTTCTCTTCTCTTCTCTTCTCTTCCCTTCCCTTCCCTTCCCTTCCCTTCCCACCACTTTTCCACACAAAGCCATTGTGAAGTGTTATTCAAAGCCTCCCCATTATTTTCTTAAACTTTAGAGCAAGTAAGAAAAAAATGAATTGCTCTTCTTGTAGTACTGATTCCTTGTATTACAGGGGAGGAGGGATAGGTTGTAGCTTCTGTTTTGATATTTAAACAAATGTTAAAAGGCTAAATTTCTTTCAGAGTGCATCTTGGGTTTTTATCCCAGTGAGATTACAGCAAGACAAATGCTAGCCACAAGCAAGAGCAAGCTAGCATTTATTCTTTCTTTCTCCTCAAAAATCGGTGTGATTGGGGATTGTACTTCCTTTTTTAAACATAAGAGGTTTGTTTAACCTTTAAAAGGCTTCTTTCCTATAAGACACGGGCTTGATCATATAACATATGGTGTGTGTTTTTTTTCTTTCATGCAATAGTTCTACTATAATTACCACTGGAAAGCAGGAGTGGTTTTTGTGCAACTAATAGTGGAAATGAGTGAAAGGGGCTAAGGTTTGTATGCTTGTCTATTCATAAGAAGAGCAATATTCCAAAAACAGAACAGAATTTGATGTATGTGTGTTGGGGGGCCGGGGGGAGAAGCAAGCTGGCAAAAGAAACATGCAATCTGAAAATGGGCTGGATCTGGGTGGTGCTGCAGAGAAAAGAATTTCAGGAAAAAAAATCTCACAATGCCTTCCTATGGAGCAGTTAGGCAATGGTTGTGAATGTTACCAACTCCTTTCTTCTAAGCCCCTCCCTCTTGTCCATCACATGACCTAGAATGGCAGTAATTTTAAGAACATCCTTTCCATACCTTGATGTTCTTTCTAGCTAAACATCTTGTTTGAAGGAAAATAGATAACAGGGATCTCTGTTTCTCGGTTAGGAAAAAAATGTGAGGCCTGAAAATTTACCTGTCAAGGTTAGTAAAATAGAGTTTTTATCTCTAGGCTCCATCACAGTTTGTCCACCTCTAGTCCACTTTGAGCCTGGCTGGGCAACCTACAAGGTCTTAGATTTACAGGGTGCACCAAATCTGATCAGGATTTGCTAAATCTCCTTAGCAGACCGAGAAAGTTGAAGGTAAGTTTTCTCTCAGGAACATGATATTTAGAAGACTGGAAGAATGACCTAATGTTTTGACATTTGATGGTTTCATGAAAGCATCCCTATTCAGGGTTGGCCTCAGAGTGTGGTCAAAAAGTTAAGATGGTGGCCATGACAGTATGATCAATGCACACATTAAAACACACACACACACACAGGTGGAGCTTCAATCACGCTGTTGCAACTGCCATCTTGACTTTTTTAAACACTCCCTACAAACACCCTTGTCCACATTCATAATGTTATTATCAAGAGTGTTTATATCAGGCTAAGGAGAAGTGAAATTTACTGTATTGATAAAGGCAATTAAAACTCTCTTCCTTGAAATTAGGTGGCTGAAAAACAGTGGTTAGGGAAAACCCAAGCATGAATTAGTTATGACCAAACTTACATTTTTTTATAAGATAATGCAGAGCAAATACTTTATTGTTCAAAGGTTAGTGTATTTCTCTCCACTTTGCTTTGCACTTGACTCCCTTTGCTGAATTTTAGGGATCTAATTAAAAAAAAAAAAAAATCATCAAGCCTGAAATTTATCTCCTCCTGGCTTCGCTTATGTACTGAATTTGTGAAAGTTGTTTAGCCATATATTTCCATTTCTGATTAGAAGCTGATTCATATTGGCAGATGTATGCATTTAATAGAGACATAAAGATAGTGATTTCAGCACAGTGGTATATTTCATCAGTATGAATAAATACCTTTTTATTGTTTTGCTCGATACTTGATAGTGTATTCCCTGCTTTCCTCTGTGCCATTGTTACATGACATTCCGTTTGGCACTCAGTTTATTTTTAGGCACAAGACTATCAAAGTGTTTTTTTTTTTTTTTTCCTTTTCCCTTAGTGGGATTGTCAGTGATCTTGAAAAGGAGTCACATTACGTAGCACAAGAACGTTCTTGAAACAAAGAAGAAATATTGAACAAATGGGAAACTATAAATCTAGACCAACCCAAACTTGTACTGGTAATGTCTTTTGCTTTTTTTAAAAAAAGAAATATGAATGTATTATCAATAATTCATTTTAATTTGCTCCCTGGTTCAAATACCAGGTATTTATTGTTGATAGTCCAGTTGAAGAATGGCATGACTGAGAAATAGGTTTTCCTTTCAACTGAAAGGATGGCAGAGTCGGGACTGTACTGATTTAACTGAGATGTTATATAAGCCAAGCTATACAAAAAATCAAAATTTTAAAAATTTATACTTTGTGCTTTCCATATTTATATAAACTTATAATTATCTAGAATAATATATCATTATATAATAAAATATTTCTTTATAAAATACAATTGTTTGAATAAACAAGAATTAACACATATTTCTGAGATGGAAGAGAAAACTACGACATATTTAGAAGTGATCAACCAGGGATTTTCAATATAAAAATGTGATTTTCAGATACCCAAAGGTACTTAAGTCAAGATATGTGTAACTTTCTCTTTTAATTGTAGATGAATGGAAGAAAAAAATTAGTGAAGCATATGCTATAATCATTGAACGATTAGAAGATGACCTGTTAATCAAAGAAAAGGAGCTTACGGAGCTGAAGCACGTCTTCAGGTAAACAGTTCTCTGAATGTTATTTATTAAACTGTTTAAGAACAACATTGAACCAGATTTGTTTTTAACTTCCATTGTCACATATTGTTAGGATTAAGGAGGCCATTAAAGTACTCTAAGAAAGCAGAACTAGACAAAGAAAACAGAATCTAATGAAGAGTTTGTTTGTTTATATTTAACTGTACCTCAGACTACAAATACCATAACAATAGTGAGCAATATTTGATATGTATTCACCAAATCTATACACACACACACACACACACACTCATTTATTTGCAACCATAGGTTTTAGCAAAATTTGTTTAAAATTACAACAATCCGTATCAGTTCAATACATCCCCTCTAATATTAACAGCACTATTTGTCAACATTTGCTTTCGTATCTTCCTTGCAGCCATTGCAAACAATGCAACTTGTTTTGTTACATGTTCATCTACATCAGTGACAGAAAATAGATTTTTTCTTCTAGACTGATTCAGTTGGATTAGTAAAGGCATGATAAATCTAGCTCTAGGTTCCTGATATAATTTGCAGTGTAATAAGTAATGGATCAGATCTTCCATGTGTGAGTTATTACAAATACATAAACGGTGTGTAGTTGGTAATTCTTTATATCCTCCATCTAAATAGGCTGTTGGCATTGTTTGAAAATGGAATTCTGTGAAAGATTGTCTCAGGGAATGGAATGTAAGAGACTGTAAATAATATAACATTCCTTGTCCATCTTTAAAAGATCAATACCACTTGGCCAACTTAAGCTTATATACCTGCTCTCTATCTTGTCTAAAATCTTTAAAAAATAAGTAGTCCTTCAATAGTGTATGATAATTTATGTCATTCATCACTTCCTGATCTAACCATAATTGTGAAAATAGTTTTAGACAAAAATATGCCCATCTATTATTGTTAAATTGTTTGTGGAGGCATTTTTTTGCCAAATAAGCATTGAGCATAAGGACTAGTCTCCTATAATATAAGATTATTGCTTTCTTTACCATTATATTAATTGATGGAAGGCCCATTTCTAATCTCAACATTGCTGCTGATATACATGTAAGGCTAAGACTGATCTCACAAATTTATTCTGAACCACTTCTAATTCTTCTAGTTTACTGAACCCCCAAATTGGGGTTCCATATATCAACTGTGAGATTGTTTTTCCCTGGAAGATCTTAAGCTCAGGTTGTACTAACCATCCTCCTTTTGAGTAGAAGGAGGAGCAAATGGCTCTCATTGATCTCATGACATTTGTTCTCATTGATGCTATATGTGTTTTCCATGATAGTGTTTCAGTAAACCGAATACCCAAGTACTTAAATGACCTCACTTGTTCTATTGCCTTACCATCTAATGTCCATCTATGTCTCTTTGGTCTTTTGGCAAATGCTACTACCCTGGTTTTTGGAATAATTTATCTGTAAGTATTCTTTCCTAGAATAAATGACAAATTCTGTCAGGATTCTTCTCATTCCAATTAATGTCGTCAATATGAGTACCATATCATCTGCATACAGTAATATAGAGACCTTTCTACTTCCAATTGATGGAGCATAAAAGGAAGGATTATTAAGGTCTTCTACAATGTTGTTTATGTAAAAATTAAAGAGGAAGGGGGGCAGTATACAGCCCTGGTGGACACCTTTTGTGGTTTTAATCTGCTTTGTTAGGGAGCTGCTCTGGTTTATCCAAACTTGCATGTAAGTGTCTTCATATAATCTATATATTAGGTAAAGTAATCCTCTATCTATATTAGTAGCTAAAAACTTCTCCCATAATTTTCCTCTATTTATTGTATCAAAGGCAGATGATAAGTCAATAAATGCTGCATACAGGCATTTTGAGGGGCCATTCATTGATTTGTGAATCAGGTATTGTAAAGTGAAACACTGATCTATAGTACTATGGCCCTTTCTGAAGCCTGCCTGTTCTTCTGCTATAATCTGCCTCATAACTGCCCAATCAATCTGTTTAAAAGATACCTTGTATATAACTTACATCCTATGTCAATGAGACTTATAGGGCAAAAGTTAGCACAGTTTGTGAAATCCCCCTTTTTAAATATTGGGGATTACTACACTGTTTTTCCAACCTACAGGGATTTGCCCAGTGCCATTGATATAAGTAAACAAGGAGGTGAACATAGGAGCCCACCAATCAGGAAATGCCTTGAAAATTTCTGGTGGTAACTTATCCTCTGGCAAGGCTTTGCCAGCTGTCTGTTGTGAAATGTTTTTTTTAACTTCTGCAGCAGTTTCTGGGGGCCATTTTATTTATCTGTATCCATTAACTGTTGGTTTGATATTCTAATAGCCTCAAATTTATTTTTAAAATAAGCTATCCAAACTTCAAGTGAAGTCTGTGCTTCTGTTATTACTTTTATTTCTCTCTGGCCTTGGGAAACTAGTTCCCAGAATTTTGTATCACTGTTTTGTAAACATAATAATAATTCTTGCCACCTAGTCAGTGCTTAATATTTTCGGCATTTATCCCTCACTGTTGCTACCCTATCAAGTGATTTCTCCTTCTTAATTTGTCTGATTAATCTAGGGAATTCCTTTCTTTCATGTCTACATTCATGGTTAAACCACAAAATTCTGGTTTCATTTTTGCTTGCCATGGTTTACACACCAGATGTTTAAAATTGCCAACCACATCCTCATATATGATATTTGCATTTTCAGGTTTTTGAATAAGTATGACCCTCTGTTGCAGCATTGTTGGACTATATAGTGCTGATCTTACAGCTTTGGCCAAGGGGGGTGTCCACTTTAATTGTTTCTGATTCTTTATAGCATCTTCTATATTGTGACTCTCTTGTGCTATGTTATTTCCACATATCCACATTAGGTCCAGGGCAAGTAGTAAGTAATCACTCTCTGGTCTATCTATAATATCAAAACACTGTACTAATGGAATCAATGAGGGCAATATGAATATATAATCAACAACAGCTCCCCCTCTGTAGCTAACTGATGTATAAGAACCCCTAGATTGATCCCATTGTGATCCATGTAAACTGACCATTTGTAATTTATACATCAATTTAAGTAGTTCTAGACTGTGATTATTCTGGATCTTATTGTGTGATATATGACCCAGAGGGAAAATTACCTCCATTTCAAAAAAGCCTTTATCCTTTAAGTTCAATATTTCCAAACCTGGACCAATTCTAGCATTAAAATACCCACAAATAATTAAATCTACACTTGTGGGATGATGTAACATATCAACTAATGGCTGTTCCAGGTTATCCCAATTAACCTGTTTTCTGAGTGGCACATAAATGTTAACACATATTAACATTCTCCCTTTAAACTTCAGCCTCAGTATTTGAATTTCATCTATATCATAATTTCCAGGATTAATTACTTCTATTCTCACATCAAGATGTACTGCAATTAGGCTCATTAAACCCCTTTTAGCACGTCCCATCTTTTGGTTCCTCTTGGCCCATTTATAAAAACACATATAGCCAAGTAATGCTATCACATTATTTCTCACCAATCAGTTTTCTTGGAAAAAAATCATATCATAATCTTTTAGAAAATGAAAAAAATCCCCATCTATACCTTTACCCACCCACCCAGCACATTTAATTGTAGATGTCTTCATGTTAGTTCTTTGTCAGCTCTGTTGATTAACCTCATTTTGGATTTGGCTCTGATGATTATTTTGTCTACTTTTCTTGCAAAGTTGTTCTTGTGTTGAACTATGACATATCTTTTGGCCTCTGGTCCTTTCTTTCTTTGAAGTATTTGAATCATCCTCTGGCTATTTCACTTATTCTATTTAGTTTTAAATTCCTTGAGTATCTTTGTAAACGCAATTATTTTTAACCCCAGGGATATTTTGTGTGAACTTGTATATTGCATCCAGGGCTTCCTTGAAGGGTCTCAAGTTCGATTCTAGTTGCTTTGCTCCGTGCACTTCTGCAGTTGTCTTGTAAACTCCTGCACTATTTATCTTCATTGTCTTATCCATCTCAGCTGGCAATGGATTTCATGATGCTCTGTGAATCATGATTATGTTCAATTGTATAACTATGTTCATTAACAGTGCATGTTGCTTTGCCAGGGCACTATCTTTTGGTAACACACGTGTTATTCTGAGGTTTATTTCGGCACTACTTAAGCTTTTCCCCCGTTCTGTTCTTTTCTTAGCCAGGTTGTTATATTCAATATCCTCCACTTGTGATATACACTTTCTCTCCTCTTTCACACAGATATTTCTCTCTCGCACATTCATACATCATTTTTGGCTTTTTCTCCTTTGCACACTCATACACATACAGATGTGGGATTTGGGACTGCACAGGATTATTTTGTTAGTCAATACAGTGTTCTGTAGTGTCTTTGGCTTTTAGATGTCCCATAGATGCCATAGTAAATGGTGGAAAGTCATATCCCCTTAGTTTTGTTTCTGGAGAGCTTGTCCACCTAGTGATATTGCTCATATAAGGTTAAGGGGGTTAAATTTTCTGGGCAGAATAATAACTTCAGCTGGTTCCTCTTCATATCATGTAAGTTTCACTCTAATTATAACTGTGAGGCATCTGAGTTTTCTATATTCCATTTTCCTCAAAATAAGAAACCTCCTTTTCATATTGTTTGCAATTTATATTTTATTCAGGTTTTGGTTGATGATCTATTTGTGAATTTGAATAGTGAGAAATGCGGTGTATTTACATGCAAGTCCATGGAACACGACGCTTCAGCATACAACTAAATGCTGCATATTGAATGGGAAGGGACCTTAGAGAGTAAATTAATTAGTTTGACTTTTGCTATGACCTGAGCTGTCTTCATTGTGTGTATTTGTGGATTATTTTTGGCAGGAAATCTATGCTACTCATCTGCAGGAAATGATTGGATGTGCTGGGTGGTAGCAGTAACTTCTAGTGCAGTCTTTCAAAACATTGTATAATAATTCTGAAGCTTAAATTATATGTACACCTACCTATCAACCTGGGTCATCATATTTTGGTGAGAGGAACTGTT